CTTACGGTTTTCTGAGCTGATTTAGCCCAGAAAAATGCAAGGCTGCTGTTTGGATTGTCACTTCAGAAGTCCAGGACTGAGGGGGCAGTCCAGACAGCAGCTATAGTGGGTTCAACCCGCATCTTCCAAGAAGGCACGGAACAAACCCACTATCAAATTAACTTGACAGAAAGCAGGGGTTTCTTGCTTTGAACTGAATGCACTTGCAATTTCATAGGGCATTGTTTGGACGCCCCGCAAATATCCAGGAGGGCTTGCATTTTGTGTCCTGCCTGGAAGTGCCCTCCATCACAAAGGATAGTGGACTCTCCTTCATTTGAAAGGGCTTTTTTCATTGTAGATTTTTAAACCACAGTTTGATGGCTGCATGTCAGGGATGTGTTAGCTGTGGTTTATAGTTTTGGCAAGGGGTGATATAGAAGCTGATGAATCCTTATGCAGCTATATTCTAATCTGAGGGCAAAAGAAAAGCTTGACAGAACATTATTAATGTGTTTACAGAACAAAGAACAAGGATCAGAGCATGATGAGACAAAGTCTCATAGATTAAGACATCATTAAAAACTAGTTAGAGATAATGACCTTGTTAGTTTGTGCTGGGATCATTTTCTTGATTTATGATAAAAGATAAGATGACAAGTCTGGAATTATACAGTTGCTCTGTTTCAAGGAAAATCATGCAAATGAATGTGGACAATAAAACTATGCTTTAGATAGCTGCCTTCTATAAATGCTCAGCTGTTACTACCACACCTAGAAAGGACAAGCTATTTTACACATGCTACAAGTTTATCAGTTTCTAATAAAATTATATAGTAATTAGAATGCCCAAAGTATAATATGGCTGAAGTGGCAGAAGGTTAGCTTGAAAGATTGCACAATGGGACACAGTTGAGGAATGACCTCCTGCGACCTACAATATAATTCATATACTCTCTTGACTTTAGATCAGGCATTGGCAAACTCGGGCCATGCAAGTGTTTGGACTTCAACTCCCACAATTCCCAACAGCCCCAGGCCCCTTCCTTTTCCCTTTCCTTTTCCACTTAAGCAACTGAGGGGGGAAAGGAAAGGGCCTGAAACTGTTGGGAATTGTGGGAACCGAAGGTCCAAAACACCTGGAGGGCCCAAGTTTGCTCATGCCTGCTTTAGATGCTTCCAGAGAGCTCTGATTGCAAACACTAAGGCTAGAATCCAATGCAGTTATTCTGTTCACAGGACTTTTGTAAGAAACAAACCCCCTTTCCTTCGGCTCCCCCTGTGTAACCCAAAACACTGGACTGTAGGGCTGTAGAAATATCTACCACAGACTTTTCAAAATTGCAGTGCAATTGGGGAAGGGGTTAATGTTCAGATTCCATAACATAAAGAAAAATGCCACTGGATATGGAAGCATTCCCTTGCCACGTTACTTGGCCCCAAAAGGTACTATGCAGCTGTTCCATCAACTTTTCCCCCCTGAAGAGACTTTCAGAAGAAAGATGGAAGCAGCACTAGGGCAGTGGTTCTCAACCTGTGGGTCCATAGGGGTTTTGGCCTACAACTCTTAGAAATCCCAGCCAGTTTACCAGCTGTTAGGATTTATGGGAGTTGAAGGCCAAAAACATCTGGGGATCCACAGGTTGAGAACCACTGCACTAGGAAAATAAAGTGAAGATGTCATAATTCTCTGGATGGCTTTATTGTAAGGAATGAGGCAGTCCCAAAGACTTGTTGGGAAGCCTAACAAAACCTTACATAATTTTCAAAGTTGTATCGTTCTTGTAAGTACATGAGGACCCCAGTGTCAACTACTGGGGAAATCTCTAGTTTGCCAAGGGATGTCTAAAAGAAGACTATAATGTAGCATTGTGGGAACTAAAGGCGCAACTTACTTTCCAAACTTAGCAGGGAGGAAAATGTCTTGCACTGAACGGATCCATAAGATGTAGCCGCACAACTCCTCCAGAGACCTTCACTAATCCAACTTGAAGTAATTATATCTTTTGCTGGAGTAGAATGTTTCCAATAGTTGGAAACAGTGGCGGCATGTAAAAGCATGAGACCCAGAAAACTCAAAATAAATGCAATGATCTGTAAAGTTGACGATGCCATTCTTCAGCACAAGATGTCAGAATAAAAGCTGATGGTCTAAAAAAGAAAAAAAAACTTAAGTTAGTGATTTAATATTTATGCTAAGGAAAAAGTTATATTTTAACATACCATGATATAAAACTATACAATTCTTTCTGTGCTGTCTTAAAATGTATTGATACACAATGTGAATTCATTTTAGTGCATTGGTATTCAATCAAAGCTTAAGTTTCAGATTTATTTTAAACTTAGATAACTCAAATAATTGAATTTTTAAATGGAATTTTTTAAAGTATATATGTAGCTTTGAGTGTCCAAGGCACATTACTAAAAGGCATACATTACTTACTTTTGACAGTCAGCTTTCTGTGTCTTTCCCACTTTCTCCCCAGTAACACTTCCAGTCCAGCGTGTCAAGAGGTTGTGAGGGATAGTTTTGAAAGATTTTGTAACCATTTAGAACCTTTCCCCTTTTTCTAAAAACCAAGGCTGCCCAGTCAGTTCATTGACCTTATCGATCAAATGAACTAGCTAGAGGTCCACTCTTGAACCTGGGAGTAATCATAATTGAATTGAACTGAACTTACTGTTGAGAGGATTCTGCAGTACACTAGTCAACAATAGCCAGTTTTCACAAAACACAAGTAAAAATGTTTCATGTTTCTCCCATGTTGTCAGTCCTCTCTTTTATTTCGGTCGTTCTATTTAAAGCATGGAATTGTGTAGCATTTTTGATGTTCAATGGCAATTTTCCACATTCCTCAACATTGCCTACCCTAGCTAGGGCTGATAGGAATTACAGTTCTGCAATGCATGACCCATATTATTCTCCCTGCTGGTTTAAAGTTATGCCTAACTTGGCAATTAAGCTGGTTTAAAATCAGGTCCAACTCAGCAATAATCACAACTGGATGCATTTGGTTGGCATAGAAAAGGCCACAACTGTATAAGTTACAGATGAAGAGTCTTGGCCCAGCATAGATCCAGATCCAGATCCAGATCCAGGCATTGGTAAAGACACCTGCTTGTTGATGGAAACTAACTCAGTCAGCTTACCTGCTGGTACATCTGGATTGACAATGGCAGGGTTTCATTTTAGGGTTATCACGTGTCCTCAATGTAGTTGCAGATGTATGTTGTTGTTCATTCGTTCAGTCGTCTCCGACTCTTCGTGACCTCATGGACCAGCCCACGCCAGAGCTCCCTGTCGGCCGTTACCACCCCCAGCCCCCTCAAGGTCAGTCCAGTCACTTCAAGGATGCCATCCATCCATCTTGCCCTTGGTCGGCCCCTCTTCCTTTTGCCTTCCACTTTCCCCAGCATAATTGTCTTCTCTAGGCTTTCCTGTCTCCTCATGATGTGGCCAAAGTACTTCAACTTTGTCTCTAGTATCCTTTCCTCCAGTGAGCAGTCGGGCTTTATTTCCTGGAGGATGGACTGGTTGGATCTTCTCGCAGTCCAAGGCACTCTCAGAACTTTCCTCCAACACCACAGCTCAAAAGCATCGATCTTCCTTCGCTCAGCCTTTCCTAAGGTCCAGCTCTCACATCCGTAGGTTACTACAGGGAATACCATGGCTTTGACTAGGCGGATCTTTGTTGCCAGTCTGATGTCTCTACTCTTTACTATTTATCGAGACTGGACATTGCTCTCCTCCCAAGAAGGAAGCGTCTTCTGATTTCCTGGCCACAGTCTGCATCTGCAGTCATCTTTGCGCCTAGAAATACAAAGTCTGTCACGGCCTCCACATTTTCTCCCTCTATTTTCCAGTTGTCAATCATTCTTGTTGCCATAATCTTGGTTTTTTTGACGTTTAGCTGCAACCCGGCTTTTGCGCTTTCTTCTTTCACATTGATTAGAAGGCTCCTCAGCTCCTCCTCGCTTTCGGCCATCAGAGTGGTGTCATCTGCATATCTGAGGTTGTTAATGTTTCTTCCAGCAATTTTCACCCCAGCTTTGCATTCATCCAGCCCCGCACATCGCATGATGTGTTCTGCATACAAGTTAAAAAGGTTGGGTGAGAGGATGCAGCCTTGCTGTACACCTTTCCCAATCTTGAACCAGTCTGTTGTTCCGTGGTCAGTTCTGACTGTTGCTACTTGGTCCTTGTACAGATTCCTCAGGAGAGAGACAAGGTGGCTTGGGATGTATATGCTGCCATAATTCCTCAAAATGACTTCCCCTATGGTTTGGATGGATACATAGACCCACTCTCCCCAGTCTCTTGGATCTGACCAACATGCTAAAATCACCACTAGAGATAGTAGTTGTTGGAACATGTAAGAAATCAGTTAGTGTGTGTGTGTGTGTGTGAATTGTAAAATAAGATGCGTGAAACTGATTGGTCGGGCTATGCCAGGAGAGCCAACTGAGCCTGGGACTTTTGGATACTGTTACATTTTTCAGTCTTGAGCTATGCACGTGCTTGCAGAGAAGCTGAGAGATGCAGAAAGAGACAGAGTTTGGAGTGTGCTCATGCTTCATGAGCTGCTGAAGGAGATTATCCACATGGACAAAGAAAAATCATTTTAAATCTCCCATAAAAGGACATTATGCGACTCTATGCAACTGATCACGACTGTAAATATGTTGATCGGAATTATGAAGAGTAATATTTTCTGTCTCTGGCAAGGCAGTGTGTGGTCAAATGTGAACTATGCATGATTTTAATTTTGTCACAGTAGTGACCCCGTCCTGCCACTAAATCACCTCCCATTAAACCAAGCTACTCAGACTGAAGCACATGACATATATCACATAGTCAAGCCTATTGCTCCAGTCCAACATATATGGCTGAATGGAATACCATGGTGTTTAAGTCACCATCCACTAAATTCTGCAACAAAGTCTTCAACTGCCCTGCTCACTTTTTAGATCACAAATCCACTTTTTCCATGTTAGCAATGTCATCCTAGAGTATCAGCCCACATAATGGTAGTGTTGAGGAAGCAAGAATGGATGGCCTTCAGATCGGCATTTGCTTTCAACATACATTCCAGCGCTTGTGTACCTAGGTCATTGCCCCCACACTAACAGCACTTGGAGGTCCAAAGTTTTGTGCCAGGGATTCCCAAAGCATTCTTCTTTGGCTGAGACAAGTGATCCCCACATGGTGTTTCAGAAAAAGATGCTGCTGCTTACAATCATTTCCAGTTGTTTATTCCACAATCCAATGCTGTGCCTGCGAATTCACACTGACTTGAGGCTGAAATCTATATAAATAAAAAAGTAATGTTCATTTGTGGGATTAACATAACTCGAAAACCACTGGATGCATTGACACCAAATTTGGACAGAATACACCTAACAACCAAACGAGTGACCATCACTCAAAAATATGATTTTGTCATTTGGGAGTTGTAGTTGTTGGGATTTATAGTTCACCAACAATCAAAGAGCATTCTGAACCCCACTAATGATAGAATTGAACCAAACATGGCACACAGAACTCCAACAACCAACAGAGAATACTGGAAGGCAACAGAGAATACTGGTGGGCATTGACCTTGAGTTCTGGAGTTACAGTTTACCTACATCCAGAGAGCACTGTGGACTCAAACAATGATGGATCTGGACCAAATTTGGCTCAAATACTCCATATGCCCAAATGTGAACTCAGATGGAGTTTGGGGGAAATAGACCCTGACATTTGGGAGTTGTAGTTACTGGGATTTATAGTTCACCTACAATCAAAGAGCATTCCGAACCCCACCAACATCAGAATTGGGGCAAACTTCCCACACAGGGAACCCCCGTAAGCAACAGAAAATACTTAAGGCCATCCAGTCCAACTCCCTTAACCAGGGCAAGAAAACGTAATCAAGGCCCTCCTGAAAAAGAGCCATCCAGCCATAGATACAGATAGATCGATATGATTCACGCACACGGAGATATAGTATCATAGATTTGAAAGGGACCCCTAAAGAAGACAATGATATGTTTCATGTTCCAGAGTAGGCAAACCAGACAATCTCCACATCAACACTGACAAAGAAACAGCAAGAAGTGCTATTTACCCACAAGCATAAAGAAATTGCATAATTAGAAACCAACACTTTCTCATTACTTTAAGATCTACAGAGACACTCGCTGGAACACCTCAGCAAGCGAGAGTCCAAAAGTGGCAGGCTCAAACCCAGAGCCTCAATCAATGGCTGATACCCAATGAGAGACTCCCCCCTGGGCACACAGAAAACTGGGCGACTTGGGAGGCACTGAACAGACTGTGCTCTAGCACCACGAGATGCAGAGCCAACCTTCAGAAATGGGGCTACAAAGTGGAATCCACGACATGCGAGTGTGGAGAAGAGCAAACTACAGACCACCTGCTGCAATGCACCCTGAGCCCAGCCACATGCACAATTGAGGACCTTGTTGCAGCAACACCAGAAGCACTCCAAGTGGCCAGATACTGGTCAAAGGACATTTAATCAACTACCAAGCTTGCAAACTCTGTGTCTTTTGTATGTTTGTTTGTTTGTTCTGTCAAAAATGTAATACTACTGTTCGGTTGCCTGACACGATAAATAAATAAATAACTTTATTTTCCAGATCACCAGACTGGGCCACAGCAACGAGTGGCAGGGGGCGGCTAGTAGTCAATAAAACAGCAATAGATGTTTTTCTGACACTCCCTGCCTTCCTCCAGGGAGATGCAATAAACTGCTGAGTCTGTGGATACCTAAAAGGCCCTCAAGGAAGACAGCAAAGCAGTCTGCAAATCAGAATATTATTGGTTTCTATCTGCGGCAGCTTCAATGCCTGACATCTTCTGTTTCTCTTTCCCCTCTTTAAAGCAGAAAAGGACTTGTTTTCCCTATGGCAGGGCCCCTATTGGGCTGTCGAGTGCACTACATTCTGGCCATTGAAGAAGCTGGCTTAGCCTCCTGGAGGGGCGGGGCTAGTTTGGAGAGCTTCTTTAGACTGCCATGCGCTCGACGCTCTCTAGGGGGCGCCTGACTCTGAGGGAGAGGCGACGCCGCGCCGCTCTGGTCGGGGCTTTTGCTGTGACGTCAGCCGGCTGCGTCACCACGGCCTCTTTCAAGATGGCGCGCAGGCGCCTGCTCTGACCCGGAAGCATTAATTGGGAAGGAGGGGAGGAAAATGGCGTGGAGTTGTTGTGCCTCCGTGAGGCAGGAGTTGTGGGGCTGTCGGAGCCGGGCACGAAGGTAGGGGGCGCGAAGTTGTGCTGGATGGGGAGAGAAGGCCTGAGGTTGCCTGGGAGGAGAGGAACAGTCGCTGGGCCCTTCCACACAGCCATATCACCCAGAATATCTGCTTGTAAATGGGTTACCTGAGCCCACATTGCCATATATCCCAGTTCAAAGTGGATAATGTGGGATTTTATTCAGCTGTGTTGAAGGGACCTGAAGGAGGAAGGGAGGAAGGGAGAGAAATGGCTTCTACATCGTAGAAATAACACACCCATTACTTCCATCGCTCAGTGCTATGGAAAC